GGTAACTATATATCACAGTCATGAATTGTTGAGCCAGTCACCTCAACGTGGCTCCCCTAGATGGTAACTCTATCATGATTGTGAATTGTTGACCCAGTAATCTAAACTCCCTGGAAATGCTACAACTTCTTTCTTAGTGAATAAATGGCTTTTCAAACCTGAAAAAGCTTAGAATTAAATATAGAAATTATAAATAAATCAAACCTATCATATTAATACTTTGTGTTTTAAATATGTGTGTATGTATGTGTGTGTGTGTGTGTGTGTGTGTGTGTGTGTGTGTGTGTGTGTTTACATGTGGTACTTCAAGTGTAATTTTGAAAAAAAAAAATGGCACATTGAAGAATCTGGTCCATTAGCCTAATTTGATAGATTAGACATATGAGGTGTAAAAAAGTTTAGTTAAGTTTGTAAACAGTACTGGAATATTTAACAACTATATCTACTAGATTTATATGTTTTATACATATAACAAATTTTTTATTAAGTACCTGAGAAAGCTTTGCTCATTAGGGATGAAAGTTGACTGGTCAGGCATATGAAGGGTTAAAAATGAACAGAGAATATATGAAATTTACAAATTCAGTTTAAAATGCTTACTAGAATTACATTTTTATAAGTTTGAAAATTGAATTGTTTAACAGAACTTAGGTTGTTCTACCTGAGTTACTTGAACAATAATAAAAGATCTCCTTAAACCTAATTATTATTTTTATATAAATATAAGTTATCTGGGTCTATTTGTGGCTAGGTTCTTCACACTAGGTTCTTCTGATTTATAAATAGTACATTTGAAATTGAACATTTAAGACAAATAAAACCAAGGTTTTGAGTCTGTAGATGAAAAAATTTAATATTAACTTAAACCCCAAGATGCTATAAAGTCTCTTGTGCTCACAAAATCTGTCCTCAGACATGAAAAACAAAATGCCCATGGATGCTACTATTATCTGCATTTAACAGATGAAGAAACTGAAGTTTAGAAAGCTTCAAAAACCAGCAATCAACTCCATGCATGTCTGGCTCTAAAGCCTGTGCTCCCAGCCAGTGTACATGTGGCTTCTCTGTCAGACCGACCTCCTGAAAAGTCAAGTGACTGTAGAACAATCAAATCAAATCACTTCCATTGAGCGATTTACTCAACGGAAGCTAATACGTATTATGGGTTGATGTTATAGCTAAGCAGTCCATTTCAGCTCAAGGAAAGAGACTTTATTGGCTCATGCAATGGAAAAGTCTGGCTGCAGGCAGGGTTGCTGGAGACTCAACCCTGCTTCTTTCTGTTTACCTGTCTCTGTTGGTAGTGCAAGATGACTTAAGCTTCCTGGGCTCAAGTATAGCTAAAATATGGGACTGCCTCTCTTCCAACTGTTCCCACAAAATCATTGCATTTCATTGACTCTGATTAACTTATAGGTTTATTCTGGAACCAACCACTGTGGTTGGAAGAATGTGATGTTTTAACTGGCCATGCCTGGGGATAGAGGCTGACCCTTAGTGTTCAAAGTGAAATCAACTCCACCACAAACATATGAGCTGATAG